GCGGCCACGCTGGGGTGCAGCCCCCCCAGGCCCCTGCCCCGCTCTGCACCGTCCCCACTGCTGCTGAGGGCCTGGCTGTGCCCCCAGGCTGGGTACACACACCAGGTCCCCTCCAACTGAACCAGTTCCCAGCGTTTTCTCAGCCTCTCTCCTCGTGTAACCTCCTGTGCTTCCTCTTTCCTTTTGAGGCCAACCCTGAGCAATGCTCTCCTACCAGCCCAGGGACAGCAGACTTTCTTCCCCCAGACAACACCCTGGGTCCCAGGAACACCTTGAAGCCAAGAGAGGGAGAGAAGGGACCCCCCAACCACCACCACCTGCTCCTGCAGCTCCTCTCACACCAGGAACCTGCTCCCAGGCTGTGCCATGGAGGGAGAGGCCGATGGTCAACGACAGGGTGTGTTGAACCTGGTGGCTGCGTTTGAAGAGCACTGGTAAGGAGGGAGCAGCCTGGGGGCTTTGGGTGCATTAGGGCTCCACGTAGTGTGGGTTTGGGAAGGGAGGAACCTGCTATGGGGTGGTCTGGAGGCTGTGGAGACACTGGCTGGTTGCTGTTCTCTAGCACTCAGGTCTACCCCGTTGCCTTCCCCCTGTTGTGGGTCACGGGCAGGAGTCTGAAACCCTCAGTGAGGTGGGGCTGGCTTTGCTGGAGGTTTCTGTGCCTGGCTCAGGCCGTGGGTGCTTGTTCCCTCCACACTCAGCACTTTTTTGTAGGGGTCTTCACTGGGAATTAGCTGCTGGGGCATCTGGGAGGCTCCGAGGCTCAGGCTGTCCAGTTGTTTGCAGAGATGTGGCTCCTGGGGAAGGGAAGAGAGAGGATTGCACCAAGGGGGAGAGGGGGTTCATTTTGGGCTGTGTGGCAGCCCCATCAAACAGCACCTTTTGCTTGAAGCCTGAGCTGGGACCTGCAGACCATGTCTGCCAGGGCTGGACCAAGGAGATCTGCCTCAATCCCTGATGTGGAAGTAATTCTGAGCCTTGGAGCAAGTAATTGTTGTGGTCTGTGCCTCAGTTTCCCCATCTGTTGAATCAGAATAACAGGTCTTGCCTTTCTCTCTCTTAGTGAGGTGCTCTCAGTGAGCCTTATGAGGCTGGTTGGTGGGCAGATGAGTGAGGCAGCACCTCCTAAAGATGGTCAGGCACAAGATTTCCTTCTGCTCCAGCAAATTCCCCTGCATCTCCTCTGCAGGATTTGGCTCCAGACTGGTTGTCCCCATGGTCCCACAGTTGCAGCCTGGCCTGTGATGTTGCTTTGGAGCTTTAAGTGGTGGAGCTGTCTCCATTTTGCTGCTGCAGCATGTTTGTTGTGAAGCCTGAGTTTTATTTAGGGGAAACAAAAGTAGCTTAAAAGACTTTTGGAGGAAGCTGGGGAACCTGGAAACAAGTTTTCTGGAACAGAAAGCCCAAGTCAACACAAACAGAAAGAGAGAAGTTCCCTGTTGGATCTTAGTGGTGGATTCAGGCTGGCACAGACCTGGGAGGCACCAGGAGGGACAGATAAAGCTCCTGTGTCCCATGAAGGGTCACACCAGCCCCCAGGGACAGGAGGGGATGTGTCCATGGCTGGGGATGCCCCCCTGAGCTCACAAACATGTTCACCAACATGGGGATGGACCCACCATGCTCTTCTGCCACTCAGGTCTTCTCCTATCCTTAACTTCACCATTTTATGTCCAGTTTCATCCTTTTTCTTTTCCTCTCCTCATCCCACTCCCACCTGCAGACCACCAGTGGATGTGTTTCCAGTTCCTCCTTGAACAATGAACCCCAGGGAGCAGCTTCTGGGTGACAACCTGTGCCCTGTGTGGCTTCTCCCCTGTGCCTGCTCTTTTCCTTCTCTTTACAGAAAAAAAAGGAAGAGAGCAAACCACAAAAAAAAAAACACCTGCTTCTCTGCAGGAAACACCTACATGAGCTTTTCTCTTGGTTGATGCCTCGTGGCTGTTGGGCTTTTAAAGCCTGATGCCCAAGGCTGCTGGTCCCTGTGGTGGCAGAAAGCCAGAGCTGCACGTTGGGAAAGAAATGGAATGACTGGTGGAATTGTGCTGTTCTAGAGCAGGATGAGGGCTGAGGACATCAGCAGGGAAGCACTGGGAGGAGAGGGGCTGGATCCTGGAGGGAATCCTTGGAGGAGGCAGCAGATCCTGGTGTCAGTGGGGTTGTTGGTGCTGAGGAGCTGCTGTGTCTTCTCACCTGGGCCTGGGTGGGTCACCCTGTGCTGAGGGAGGGGAGAGCTGATCACACCAATTCCTCCAAGCAGGGCTGGCAAGTTTCCTCGGAGGGACAAACAGGCTCCACACAGCCAGGCTGCTCCTGCAGCCAGGATGTCCCAGCAGCTCCCAGTGGTCCCCACCAGTCACGGCCTCTCCCAGGTGGCTGCCGGGGAGCAGGAAGAGGAAGGGAAGGAGGAGGAGGAGGAGCAGGGTCGGCGGGGTCTCAGCTTCAAGTGCCTCCGTTCTCTAAGACACAAGCTCAGGGAGAGCAACTGGAGGAGGCAGCAGGACCCAGGGCTCGAGCCCAGCAGCAAGGTGAGCTCTGGAGGTGGCTCAGGTGAGGCTGGTGGTGGCTCAGGTGAGGCTGGTGGTGGGTGCCCACGCTCAGGCAGGGGGGCTGTGTGGGCTGGTGACAGAGAAGTGGTCCCTTCCCTGGTGCTCCAGGCACAAATTCCTCACAGTCAGATGGATCCAAAAGCAGACTTGGTCTCTTCCAGCTCTGATGTGACTGTGCCATGGGTGTCAGACAGGCAGGGGGGCCCAGCCAGGTCTGTCCCAGGCTGTCCCCAGGGCTGTGCTGACCATTTCCAGCTGCAGACACGTTGCTGCAGGAAGGCATCCAGTTCCTTGGTGGAATTGCAGACCATGGGGTTAATCCACCCCACCCTTCCCCTCTCCCCAGGATCTGCATCACTTGGGGGGAAACAGGCACAGAGAAAGGGTTGACCTAGAAGGGCACAACCCAGACATTGTCCCTGTCCCAAACCCACCTTATTTTCACCCTGCTTTGTTGAGGTGCTTTCCTTGCCCTCACATGGAGCGAGGTCCCATTTTGAGGTGGGCTGTGAGCTCTGGGGAACAGAGCTGCATCCCCTCAGGCTGGTGGGGAAGACTCACATGATAAAGACCAAGCCCTTCTCCCCATGCAGGAACCAGAGGAGAAGAAAATTGCTCTGGAGCTGCTGGAGACAGAGCAGGCTTATGTCAACCGCCTCCACCTTCTCGACCAGGTGAGCTGGGGAGCAGAGGAGCCCACACAAGCCTGGGGGGTGACAGCCCTGCTGCCATCTGTCCCCACCAGCACAGCTCAGCCACCCCAGGCTGATAAACCAGGCAGGACACAGCACAGCTCCACACTGACCAGTTTTCCTGTGGGATCCTGTGGCAGTGGCCAGGCCCAGATCAGGGTGTGAAGCTGCACAGATGAGAGTCATGCTGGGCTGGGCTTCACTGCCAGAGAGTGGGTCTGGCCCTTGCCTTTCCTACACCCCAGGTCTCCAGGGAGAACATTTGTCCCAGCAAAGCCTGACACCCCCCCTGCTTCCCTCTTTGGACCTGGGATTTCCCTCCTGCACAGTCAGGGACTTCAGCCTCAGGGAGGGAATGGTGGGATCCTCAAGCCTCTTCCTAAACCCTTTTTATTCACCCCTTCTTTCTTCCAGATATTTTATATAGAGTTGATGAAAGAAGCCCAAAATGGGAAGACAGTCCCAGAGGAGGTGGTGAAAATGATCTTCTCCAACATCTCCTCCATCTACCAGTTCCACTCCAGGTTCTTCCTGCCAGAGCTGCAGAAGCGCATGGAGGATTGGTGAGCTGCAGGGGGGGCAGGACACCTGGAATGCTTTCCCAGAATGCTGGTGCTGGTGAATTTGGTCTCCCAACAGGACCAGGGAGCTTGGGCTGTTTTGCTCCAGATGTCTTTGTGTTGAGAAGCACCTCCTTAAAACACTTCCTGTCCTTTCTGACAAGGATATCTCAGGTGGTTTAGGGATGTGCCCAGGCTGGCTGCAAGCTGGGGACGTTCCCATTGTGGAGGGTGGGAAGTCCTATGGGGATGTAGCTGGTAAACCTCTGTTCTCCACCATGCACAAGCCACCCTTTGCTTCATCCCTCCCTGTCTGAGGAAGCTGCTGGTCTGTGGTTCCTTCCCCCAGGAGCTGCAACCCCAGGATTGGGGATGTGATCCAGAAGCTCGCGCCGTTCCTCAAGATGTACGGGGAATATGTGAGGAACTTTGACAAGGCCATGGAGCTCATCACTGTCTGGTCAGAGAAATCCCCACCCTTCCAGGAGCTCATTGCTGACATCCAGGTAATGGGGACAGCAGGGAGGGGGACTTGAGCAACCTGGTCTAGTGGGAGGTGTCCCTGCCCACGCAGGGATCTAGATGATCTTTAAGATCCATTCCAAACCATTCTACGACTTCATCAGTGCTCCCAAAATCTCCCTGCAAGGAAGAAGCAGCACAGGGTGGGAGCTGCCTTGGTCACTGTTTCTCTCCCTGGTGTCTCTCCCCAGAAGAGGAAGGTCTGCTCCAACCTAACGCTGCAGCACCACATGCTGGAACCTGTGCAGAGGATCCCACGCTACGAGCTCCTCCTGAAGGATTATGTCCAAAAACTCCCACCCCAGTCCCCAGACAGGGACGATGCAGAGAGTAAGGGCTCCAGGGAGTGGTGGAGAGAGTTTGTGGGGGCAATAACCCCTCATGTTGGGCACCAGCCTCAGGATAACCGAGTTCCCTCACCAGCTGCCCCCTGCCCTTGGATAATCCTCTCAGTCTGACCCTTTCCTCGCAGGGAGAGGGATTGATCTGCCCTCTCAGGGTCTGGGCAGGTCAGCAGGGAGAGTGGCTGATGATTCAAGATAAGGACAGTCCCTCCAGAACGTACCCAGGGGAGACCTGAGGTGGCCAGGGAGCTGTCAGACCCCTGCAGATGCCAGGAGCTCCCAGCCCTGCTGGGATGGTGGGATAAAGGGGCTGCTTGTCAGTCCCAGACCGGGGCCATTCGGGCTGTGTCCAGGGGAGGGCAGCAGCCACCGCGCTTCTGGCTTCCCCGGCAGGGTTTTTCTCCCACAGCTTCCCAGCAAGCGTTTAACCCTCCTCCTCCCTTTCTCTTCTCGTTGCAGAGGCCCTGGAGATGATTTTCATGGTGGCCAAGCACTCCAACGCAGCTATCGCCGAGATGGTGAGTGCCTGTCCCAGCCCGCAGTGCTTTGTGGCTCCTGGCACAGGGATGTGTCCTGGTGGAGCACAGCCCTGCCCTGGGTGGGACAGGAGCTCTGTGGGATCAGCAGAGGAGGTTAGAGCCTGCTCTTGATGCTGATCCCACCACCCCAAGCCTGGGGAAGTCACATCTCCCACGTCAGCTGGGCTGAAACCTGCTGGTTTGAGGCTGGGAGCTGCTCTGGAAGATCAGCCCAGAGTGAGAGATGTGCCTGGTACTCAGCAGCTGACCTGGGAGGTGGAGACGAAGGGCACCATGGGGTGACAGGGTTGTGGGTGCTCAGGCCCCCACAGGGACGGGTCCCTCTGCCCCCCCAGGAGCGGCTGCAGAACCTCTGGGTGGTCTATCAGCGCTTGGGCCTCGAGGATGACATCGTGGACCCCTCCAACGAGCTGATCAAGGAGGGACCAATCCAAAAGATCTCCACCCGCAGCAACAGCACGTCGGAGAAGTACCTGTTCCTGGTGGGAGCTGGGAGACCCAGGGGAAGGGGCAGGGAGCAGATGGGATGGGAATGGGGAGAGGAGCAGCACAGCTGGCCCGAGGTGTTGCTGGGTCATCTCTACACAGAGGGGACAAAAGCAGAGCTGGGGGTTGGTCCCCCCCCCCCCCCCCCAGTGCAGGGCACCCTGCATAAGATGTGTTTGGGAACCTGCTGATCCCCTGGGGGCTGCTGCAGTCCCAGAAGAGCTTCAGCTGGGCAGGGTGGGAGAGGGCTGGGCAGAAGCAGTAGCTTTTTAGGCTGAATTTCCTCCTAAGAGACCAGCTCAGCCCAAGGACAGAGTGAAGGACCATAGATCCCAGGCAAGCCCCCCAGCTCTGAGCAGGCAGGTGCTGGGCTCCAACCAACCCTCTCCTCCTCTCCTGCCCCCTGCCCAGTTCAACAACATGCTGCTCTACTGCGTGCCCAGGGTCATCCAGGTGGGCTCCGAGTTCCAGGTTCACCTCCGCATCGACGTGGAGGGCATGAAGGTGAGACAGGCCCCTGGTCTTTGTGCTTCCCCCAGAGCTGGGCTCCCCTAAAATGCACCCTGCTCTGGGGTGTAATGTGGCTGCTCTCCCAAAGCTCTGGGAAAGGAGGGAGGAGCTGGAGCCAGGAGCTTTGTGGGTGAGGGGACCTGGTTGACACGCTCTGATCCTGTGGAATAGCAGTGACATCTTGTGCAAGGAGGATTGGAGGGGCTGAAGGGCTTGTGCCCACGGGAAGTCTGTGTCCCTCACATGGTGGAGGAAGGTCCCTGTGTGCTGGAGGTGGGTTCAGCTGCTCCACATCCTCTCTTTGGTGTCCCTCAGGTGCGGGAGCTGAAGGACACTCAGTTCCCTCACACCTTCCTGGTCTCGGGAAAGCAGCGGACGCTGGAGCTCCAGGCCAGGTGAGGGGACAGGTGACAGGGCTGCAGAGCCCTGGGGAGGGGGGACAACAGCTCATCCAGCTCCCTCTCTGTACCCAGGTCTGAGGAGGAGATGAACGCCTGGATCAAGGTACCACAGAGTGCTGGGAGAAGCAGCACATCTCCCAGACCCCAGCTGGGTTCCCTGTGTCCGGGCAGCCCCAACTGCCCCTCCAGCCCTGCCTTCTCCTCCAGGCCTTCCAAGATGCCATTGACAGGAAGGAGAAGAGGAGTGAGACCTTTAAGGCAGCAGTACCTGGGCTGGAGACAGACACCCCTGCACTGAAGGTACCCCCCCTGTCCTCTTCCTGCCTCCCTCCACCAGCAGCTCAGGAGAGCCCACCTTGCCATGCCTCAGTTTCCCCTAACAGAGCTGGGCAGTGCGGGAATACAAAGCCTGAGGGGAAAGGCAAGAGCAGAGGGGGCTGGGACCACCCCAGGTGATGAGAAGGGTGTTCCCATGCCATCTCCCACCCCCCAGATGGAGGAGCTGGGCCGCCGAGCCCCGCAGTGGGTGCGGGACAACCTGGTGTCCATGTGCATGCGCTGCGGGGAGCCCTTCACCCCCCTGGCGCGCCGGAGGCACCACTGCCGAGCCTGTGGATATGTGAGTGAGCCCTGCTCCCTCCCTGCACCCCCCCAGCTCTCCCTGGACCCTGTCCCAGCCGTGTCCCTGGCTCTGGGGTGCAGGTGGTGTGTGCCCGCTGCTCCGACTACAAGGCCGAGCTGCAGTACGACGGGAACCGCCCGAGCCGCGTGTGCCAGGAGTGCTACATCTTCCTGACCGGGCACACGGTGCTGGAGGAGAGGGAAGGGAAGCACAAAGGGGTCCTGGAGGTGAGCTCTGCCCCCTCTCTGCCCGTCCTACCCGTGCCCTGCTCCCCTGTCCCTCTTCCTACAGGCCTACAGGAAAGCTGGGGAGGGACTTGGGGCAAGTGCTTGTAGTGAGAGGCCAAGAGGGAAGGGGTTGAAACTGGAAGAGGGAGATTGAGATATTAGGAATTCTTTGGTGTGAGGGTGGTGAGAGCCTGGCCCAGGTTGCCCAGGGAAGCTGTGGCTGCCCCATCCCTGGCAGTGTTGAAGGGCAGGTTGGATGGGGCTTGGAGCAGCCTGGGCTGCTGGGAGGTGTCCCTGCCCATGCAGGGGGGTGGGACTGGATCTTTAAGTTCCCTTCCAACCCAAGCCTGTCTGGGATTCTGTGATTCCTCTGAGCCCTGTCACTCCCCCTGCTCCTTGGCTGGCACCTCCCCTGGCCTGCCCCTGCTTTAGGAGGGTTTTGTGGAGCAGGCAGGGAATTCCCCAGGAAATCACCTCTGCCTCCCACACAGGGTACGTAGGGATTTGTTTGCTGTTTCTCTGGCAGAAGGGAGCTGCAGAGGTATCCGGCAGGAGCTTGCTGTGCAGTTCCCTGCAGCTGCTGGACAAGAACGGCAAGGGGGGCACACGGGGCTGGTTTGTGATCCCCCAGGATGATCCCCTGGTGCTCTACATCTACGCAGCCCCCCAGGTAAGGCCGGGCTGTGCTCCGGGTACAGCCCCTTGTCCATCCCCTGCCTCCCACCTCTGTCTCCACCCCCCTCCAGGACGTCCGAGCCCACACCTCCATCCCCCTGCTGGGCTACCAGGTGAGGGACCTGTCCCAGGGTGACTCCCGCCACCAATTCCAGCTGGCTCAGTCCGGGCAGGTCCACACCTTCGTGGCTGACACGGAGGAGCTGAAGAGGCGCTGGATGAGCATCATGACCCGCTGCGCTGCCGGGACCCCGCGGGAGGGAGGGGATGGGGACTCCTGCCAGCAGGCAGAGTGAGCCCGTGCCCACCTCCTGAGCCCCTCCACCCTGCTCTCCCCCAAACCTCGGGCAGCCCCAACCCCCCCGACTTCTCTGCAGTTTGGTTTTTCATCACTAAAAAACAACAACCAACCCCAGAAGGCAGCGGCGCGTTTGTCCCCGCGTGGAGATGCAGGAGGATCCTGCCCCTTCCTCCGGGCTCCCCACGCTGCATGGAGGTGATGGAGGAAGCCGAGATGTGATGTGGGGGGAGAACCAGGGGGTTTTGGGGAGCTGCCACCCCCCCTCTTGCCGGTGCCTGCCACCCGCTGCCGCCCGAGGGCAGCAATTCCTCAGCCTTCCTGCCGTCCCGTGTTCTGAAAGCATCTGTGGAACTGGGGCTGCTGTGATCAATCCTGCAACCCCCCAGGAGCTGGGTTCTCTAGGGGCTGATTCTTTTTCTTTTTTGGGGGGGGTGTATTTTGCAGAGCGCCCCGTGGGGTTGTCAGCAGGTCCCCACGTTGCCTGGTCCCTGCAGAGACCCCCCCTCAGGGACCCTAGTGCTGGATCCAGGATGTTCCTCTTCACCCTCCTGGCCTCACCCTGCTGCAGTGCCATGGTGGGGGGTACCCCATCACCGCAGACACCCCCAGAGGTGCTGCAGCCAGTGCTCCTGCCCATCCCAAGCCTTCCCATCCTGCCCATGAGCACCTTCCACCCTTGCACCTCTCTCAGTCACACGTTTCCTGGGGGGGGGGGAAAACACTCTGGGATGAGGCTGGATCCACATGGCTGGTGCTGCTGGGGGGACACAGGGGGATTCCCCTCCCCATCCCCAGCATAACGAGCACCCCTCCTGCTGTAGCCCCACGTTTTTCTCTCCATATCCTCTTGAGCTCCCCAAAAATGTTGCCCAGGCAGGAGTTACCACATTGGAGCCTGCCAGGGGCTGCAATGGGAGGCAGGAGCCCACTGTTCCCAGGGATTGCAGCAGCTCCAGCCCTGCAGCCCCTGGCTGAGCCCAGGGGTGTCATGGGCTAAATGGAGCCATGGAGAGCAGGAAGGGAAGGGATCTGGAGCCAGAACCTACAAATGGGGACAACACTCAGGGAAAGGATGGAGAGCAAAGATGAGCCACAGCCAATCACCACTCTGGGGGTGGGGGGAAAGCTGTGAGCATCATCCCCCTTCCTGGGTGTACCCAGATCAGCTCATCCTAGGAAAGGGCAAACTGTGGTGGCTTTAACTCCTCCAACTCCAGAGGTATCCTCAAGGAAGTGGGCAGGGAATTGGGTATCAGGGGGAAGGAGAGCCCTGCCAAAGCAGCTGCCCCTCAGGGTGCCACCCACCTCGGGGCTGAGCCCAGCAGCAAACAGCAACGGTGGGGTGTCCAGAGACACCCCAAAAAACCTCCCTCACCTCTCACCACCACCTCACGTGAAAGGGAAACCCCAGTGCCCCCGGAAAAGCCAGGGAGGGCAGGGAAGGAGTGAGAGCCAGGGGAAACCCGTGGGGCTGGGAGGTTCGGCGTGGTGGCCTCAGTGTCACCCTGTGTCAGCCAGGAACAAAACAAGCCCCGAGCAGGGAGCTGCCCTCAGCCAGGGCTGCTGAATGGGCCTAAGAATAGATTTCCTGTTTACCCAGAGAGAAATTGCTCCTGGGGCAGAGGGCACCTGGGGACTATTTTTACCAGCTCCTGCCACACCCCCCCTGTCCTGGTCCCCAGCCACCCTTGGGGCTGTAGCATCCAAGGGAAGGGGAAGGGAGGTGGCCAAGGGGTGATGGGGCAGCAGGGTGGGTTAGTGCCACCACCTTGGCATCCCCAGGGATGGGAGCTGGCATCCCTCAGCAGCCCTGAGCACCCCTAAAACTGCCTGCTGGGGGACCCACCTCCTGGGGTGTTCTGGGATTCCTGAGCTCTGCTTTTCTAGGGAAAATCTTTTTCAGAGGATAATTTTTTTTTAATTTATTTATTTTGCACCCCAGACTCGCAGCAAAACACCCTGATGAGTTCGGGTTCTTTTCCAGGCCCCGGGGCTGGTGCAGTGAGGGTCAAGCAGAGAAGTTTGGCCTCTTTCCTCCCCGCCCAGAAAGTGAAACCCCGAGGAGAAGTCGCAGTTTCCTATTCTCAAGAATGAGGAAGGTTCCGAGGCCACTTACTGGAACATCCCTCCCCGCGGCCTCTTCTTGTAAGCACTGACCAAAATACCTTGTGAAACCCCAGCTGGGGGCCGGGCCACCCCTCATTGAGAAAACCCTGCCCAAGGCAAAGGGACACGGGCTGGTGCAGCTGCTGCTCTGCACAGGCTTCCTGGCTCCATCCTCAGCCCTAATCCCACCCTCCCCAACCTTCCCTGTGCTGCAGGAAAGGGGTTCAAGGGATGTGGAGCCAAGGGAGAGGTGACCAGAAGGGACCTGGAGAAGCAGGGGGACATTGGGGTCCCCACCTGTGTCCCATGCAGGGCTCTCTCTACATGTAACCTCCCCCCTGCTGCTCCCTGGGATGCTCTGGAGGTCCCAGGGTCTGTTCCCCCCACGTGTCCCCCCAAAACGTGGGGTGGGATCAGGACCAGATGGGCCCTATAAAACCCTACACCCTCAACCTGCAGGGCCCTCCTGGCCCTGGGAGCTGCTCTGGGGGCTCTTCCTCTATAGGGACAGGGTCTGTAGGGGTTCACTACAGGGGCAGGCATCCCCCCTCTGTGGGGCATATCCTCTTGCAGGTCCTTATAGGGACTGCCCTCTGCTGTGTGAGGGGGCTTTCCTGCTCTGAGGGGCTGGTCTCTAGGGGATTGCATCCCTGGGGCTGTAACTCCTGCTCTGTAACACCTGGGGTTGGGTTCTGTAGGGGTTGGGTCCTATAGGAGTTGGGTTCTATAGGGGCTGGGTTCTATAGAGGTTGGGTTCTGTAGGAGTTGGGTTCTATAGCAGTTGGGTTCTGTAGGGGTGGCAGATGGGTTGGGTTCTATAGGGGCTGGGTTCTATAGGGATTGGGTCCTATAGGAGTTGGGTTCTATAGGGGCTGGGTTCTATAGGGGTGGCAGAGGGGTTGGGTTCTACAGGGGTTGGGTTCTGTAGGGGTTGGGTCCTATAGGAGTTGGATTCTATAGAGGTTGGGTTCTGTAGGGGTGGCAGATGGGTTGGGTTCTATAGGAGCTGGGTTCTATAGGGGCTGGGTTCTATAGGGGTTGGGTTCTATAGGGGCTGGGTTCTATAGGGGTTGGGTTCTATAGGGGCTGGGTTCTATAGGGGTGGCAGAGGGGGTTGGGTTCTGTAGGGGTTGGGTCCTATAGCAGTTGGGTTCTATAGAGGTTGGGTTCTGTAGGGGTGGCAGATGGGTTGGGTTCTATAGGGGCTGGGTTCTATAGGGGTGGCAGAGGGGGTTGGGTTCTGTAGGGGTTGGGTCCTATAGCAGTTGGGTTCTATAGAGGTTGGGTTCTGTAGGGGTGGCAGATGGGTTGGGTTCTATAGGGGCTGGGTTCTATAGCAGTTGGGTTCTATAGGGGCTGGGTTCTGTAGGGGTTGGTCCTACAGGAGTTGGGTTCTATAGGGGTTGGGTTCTACAGGGGCTGGGTTCTA